ATTCTTTCTTTTGTTTTAGTTATTTTTTGTTTCAGATCTTTTTGGCTTTTCTGTTTTTATGCCTTTCAGGTAAGTCGAATTATTTTTGACTTTCCTTCCTTCCTTCCTTCCTTCCTTCCTTCCTTTCTTCTTTCTTTCTGTCTTTCTTTCTTTTTCTTACCCTCTCATTCCACATCATTTTCCATTATTTATTCCTTCTTTCTTTCTTTCTTTCTTTCTTTCCTTCTTTCTCTATTCTTTTTACCTTCTTTCATAAATTTTCGTCTTTTTTACTTTGTTTTTTTACTCCTTTACTATCTTGTTCTTTCTTTTTTTTTTTCTTTCTTTCTTTCTTTCTTTCTTTCTTTCTTTCTTTCTTTCTTGTCACTTGTCCTTCCTTACCGTTTTCCCACATTCATTCCTTCATCTATTCTTTCTTCTTCCGTCCTTTACTGTCTTGTTCTTTCTTTCTTTCTTTCTTTCTTTCTTTCTTTCTTTCTTTCTTTCTTTCTTTCTTATCACCTTTTTTATTGTATTTTTACTTTCATTAATTTTCTTCCTTCTTTCTTTGTTTTCTTTACTCCTTTACTGTCGTGTTCTTTCTTTCTTTCTCTCTTTCTTTCTTTCTTTCTTTCTTTCTTTCTTTCTTTCTTTCTTTCTTTCTTTCTGTATTTTGTTCCTTTTTCTCTTTTATCCATTCTCATTTTCTTTATTTCGTACAATTTCTTTCATTTTTTAATTTCTTTTTCGTTAATTTATTCTTTCGTATTCTCTGGCTTTATTTTTCTTCCTTTTTCCTTTCCTAACATTTCTCTTTCATTCATGGAATCATTCTTTCTTTCTTTTTCTTGCTGCCATCCTTTTAGCATATTTTCTTTCTTTCTTTGATTGTTTTTCTTTCTTTTCTTTCTTCGTTTTCTCTCTTTCGTCTGCGTTATATTTTTGTCGCTCTTTCTTTATTTGTCGTCTTTCTTTTTGTTTCCTCGGTTAACCTCTTTCTTTCTTTCTTTCTTTCTATCTTTCTTTCTTTTTTCTTTCTTATTCTCTCCCAGACCATCTTTCTTTCTTTCTTTCTTTCTTTCTTATTCTCTCCCAGTCCATCTTTCTTTCTTTCTTTCTTTCTTTCTTTCTTTCTTTCTTTCTTTCTTTCTTTCTTTCTTTCTTTCTTTCTTATTCTCTCTTCCATCTTTCTTTCTTTCTTTCTTTCTTTCTTTCTTTCTTTCTTTCTTTCTTCTTATTCTCCCAGTCCATCTTTTTCTTTCTTTCTTTCTTTCTTTCTTTCTTTCTTTTCTTTCTTTCTTTCTTATTCTCTCCCAGTCCATCTTTTCTTTCTTTCTTTCTTTCTTTCTTTCTTTCTTTCTTTCTTTCTTTCTTTCTTTCTTTCTTTCTTTCTTATTCTCTCCCAGTCCATCTTTCTTTCTTTCTTTCTTTCTTTCTTTCTTTCTTTCTTTCTTTCTTTCTTTCTTATTCTCTCTCAGTCCATCTTTCTTTCTTTCTTTCTTTCTTTCTTTCTTTTTTTTTTCTGTCTTTTCTTTCTTTCTTTCTTTCTTTCTTTCTTTCTTTCTTTCTTTCTTTTTCTGTCCTGATCAATCTTTTCTTTCTTTCTTTCTTTCTTTCTTTCTTTCTTTCTTTCTTTCTTTTTTATTCCTCTTCTTTTCCTCTTTATTCCTACCTTTTCTTTCGCTTTTACTTTCTCAACTATTCTCTATTTTTAGTTGCTTTTCCTCTTTTCTTTTTCTCTTTCTTTCTCTCGTCTTCCATTTTTATAATTCTTTCTTTCTTTCTTTCTTCGGTATTTTGCTCCTTTTTTTCTCACTTATTTTTACTCTCTTATTCATTCTTTTTACTTTCCTTCTTCTCTTTCGTTTATTTTGACCCGTTCTTTCTTATTTTCTCTTCCTTCCTTTAATTTAATGTCTTTTTCCGTCACTTCCATCCACCCCCTCCCCTTATATATGCCGCGACACAAATAAATTCCACAAATCCAAATGCACTTACCCATAAATTTCACTCTGCCTACCCGTTAGCAGACAGCTCCCCGCCAGCGTTATTCAGCGACAATCGAACACACAAAAACCTGCAGAGCCAACATTCAATACAGAGAACAAGACATTAATATAATTCGGTCAAATCGATTGTTTAATCAATGATCAGAAACCCGAAAATAAACGAAAGTATATGACGGGAGTGAAAGACGAAAATATGACTCACATCAGCATGTCAACACTAAAAGCAAAACGAAAAAAAAAAAAAAAAAATGCCGTAGACACTGGTGATCCTTCCCCCAGACACTACCTCTCTGTTGCACTAAAATGCTCCGATGTCTGAAACTTGACGTAGCTGTGTATGTACTGATCTGTCTTGCAAAAGCCCGCAGTAATAAATGATCGTCTGACATATTTAGCACCGATTGGTGATGCGATGTGTAGGGGGAGGGGAAACGTTTAAACGTTGGAAACAATTGGGTGTCTCTCCCATTTACATATATTGCGCAAGTGCCCTCGTTGGGATATCCACGGGC